AAGCAGCATGTATTAATGACAATTCCAACAATTCATAGGATCATCATTTGCAACTTTCCTACCCAGCTTCCAACAAGCCAAGTCAATGGAGGAAGCTGAAATTGCTTAACAACCATGTGATTGACTTAGCAGTAGTAGAGATTTGCTTAACTATCATGGCAAAAAGATTGTAAAATGGGGCGTGCCTCACTTACCAGCCAAGAACTACCAGTAATGAAATATCTGCAAGAAAACACCCAAGCTCAGAGAGCACCAAGGATTTCACAGTTCAACCCTGAGCTACAGAGATTCTCTTTTATTGGAATATGTTTCCCCATGTTTGAACTGATTAATTGGATTGTTAGTAATTTGAATAAATGGCGTTTCATAAATTTAGGCACCCAGACATAAACAAAAGGAGATCACATGGCCCCAGGATACTGCAATGGTCATAAATAGGAGTCAATTGCCAAGCATCTGAATTTTGATCATGTGACCATGGGAGGGGGATGCTGAAATGGTCGTTAAGTGTGAAAAATGGTCATGAGTAACATTTTTCAGTGCTGTTGTTAACTTTGAATGGTCACTAAATGGGCTGTTGTAAGTCGAGGACTACCTTTGTTTAGAGCAGGGGTAGGCAATGAGGTGGCTGGATGGAGTCACTGAAGCAGTAGGTGTGAGCTTAAATGGAGTCCAGAAGATGGTAGAGGACAGGAAGGCCTGGAGGAACATTGTCCATGGGGTTGCAACTAACAACAAAGGCAACCTTGGCTCTTTTATGACTCGTGGACTTCAACTCCCAGAATTCCTGAGCCAGCATGGCTCAGTTTGGAAACCTCTCTCTTTCCCCTCAGCATGGCTGGCTCAGGAATTCTGGGAGTTGAAGTCCACGAGTCATAAAAGAACCAAGGTTGTCTACCCCTGATTTAGAGCAAGCTGGAGTCTATGGGATTTTCCCAGAGCATGAAAACACAGAGGTTTCTTCCCTCTACCGGAAATCACATTCTCTCATGGAATATGACAGCCATGGTTGACAGTGGGGCAGGTGGACAAGATTACCTCATTTCTCCTTTCTCCTCCTCCCCATCTCTTTCCTCCCCCACTCCGAAGGCTTCTGATAGGGGGTTGGATGTCTCATCCTGGAGATTGGAAATGATCTTCAGCAGGGAGAGACCTTTGGAATCAGACCAGGATCTACAAAGTATCCTATAAGCAGAGGCCACATTTTGCTAATTTATCCCATTAATATAATAATCCTCTTTCTAAGAAAAAGGCAGGTGAAAGTGTGTGTGTGTGTGTGTGTGTGTGTGTGTGTGTACTCAGCGCACAATTTTGCAATTGGGAAACCTAATATCTTGACCCTGAGAGCAGTTTGTTGGGTAATGAATGAGCGCAAGAAAAGGAAATCCAGCTGACATGAGTGGCAAGTATTTTGAAGCTGCGTTTCTTTTCTTTTACCTTCATTCTTTATTTATGCTTTCTTACAGTTACCATTAATAATTAATTCCCTGTATATTATTTGCAGCTTGGAATTTAGTACCCGTGTATGGCTTGTTTCCTCTCAGTGGTGTCAGAAAAAGGAGAGACCTTTCGTCACGTGTAAAGGGGCAATTCTTGGCCCATGGGGATGAAAAGGAGATGCTGGTTGCGGAAGACGTCAAGGGTAACTTGTAGCTCTTCCCGTTGCTGAATCAGGCCACCGGGGAGCAGGGACAGGGTTGAGGGCAACCTGTACAAAGGGATGACAACGAGGAAGAGGAGGGTCAACCTATTCTCCAAAGCACCTGAAGGCAGGACAAGAAGCAACGGATGGAAACGAACCAAGGAGAGAAGCAACCTAGAACTAAGGAGAAACTTCCTGATGGTTAGAACAATTAACCAGTGGAACAACCTGCCTCCAGAAGCGGTGAATGGTCCAACACTGGAAGTTTTCAAGAAGAGACTGGACAGCCATTTGTCTGAAATGGTATAGGGTTTCCTGCCTGAGCAGGGGGTTGGACTAGATGACCTCCAAGGTCCCTTCCAACTGTATTATTATTATTACTAGAAGCAACAGATGGAAATTAATCAAGGAGAGAAGCAACCTAGAACTAAGGAGAAACTTCCTGACGGTGAGAACAATTAACCAGTGGAACGGCTTGCCTCCAGAAGTGGTGAGATTTTAAAACTGGAGGTTCTTCAGAAGAGACTGGACAGCCATTTGTCCGAAATGGTATAGGGTTTCCTGCTTGAGCAGAGGGTTGGAGTAGAAGACCTCCAAGGTCCCATCCAACTCTGTTATGCTGAGAATATTCTTCTTAAATTCAGTTCGAGATGAGCTTTGAAGCAATCGGACTTAGAAGAAACAGGATAGAAAAGTGATAGTTTTGCATTTTGGTATTGGAGAGACTCTTGAGAATACAATGGATAACGAAGAAAACAAAGGTACAAATGACCAGGCTCAAATTATCGTGCTTTGGGAACATTATTCAAAGACCTACTTTTCTGGAGAGCCCATAATGCTAGGAAGGGAAGAGTAGAAGAACACAACCAGTAAATGGATGGACTTAACAGCAATGGATGCTGGAAGGAGCAGTTTTAAGACAGATCACCACCTGTAGAAAATGTCCCCATGTGGTTGCTAAAAATTGGCACCACTTGATGGCATATGATCAAAAATTAAGCAATGCTTAATTCCTTCAGTTTGTTGCAACCTCTTCTTGCAACCATTTGTCTTCAGCATCAAATATGATGCACTTGAGTGGGGGGCTTCCCATGTAAAAAAGATGTTGAGACTCTAGAAAGAGTACAGAGAAGAACAACAAAGATGATCAGGGGACTGGAGGCTAAAACATATAAGGAACGGTTGCTGGAATTGGGTAGGTCTAGTTTGATGGGGAGAAGGACGAGGAGTGACATGATAGCAGTCTTCCAGTATCTCAGGAGCTGCCAAAAGAAGAGGGAGTCAAGCTATTTTCCAAAGCACCTGAAGGCAGGACAAGAAGCAATGGATGGAAACTAACCAAAGAGAGAAGCAACCTAGAACTAAGGAGAAACTTCCTGAGGGTTAGAACAATTAACAGTGGAACAACCTGCCTGCAGAAGCTGTGAATGCTCCAACGCTGGAAGTTTTTAAGAAGAGATTGGACAGCCATTTGTCTGAAATGGCATAGGGTTTCCTGCCTGAGTGGGGGGGTTGGACTAGATGACCTCCAAGGTCCCTTCCAACTGTATTATTATTATTACTATTATTATTATTATTGTGTACCTTGATAACACACCTTATACATATGTACCCACATACACTTCAGAGCACTTTTGATATGGTTGATCTCCTTGACGTGTGCATATTTTATACGCATTCACAAACATTAGTCAAAATGTTTCATTGTGGCAACAATAGTCCCACTTGAGTGTTGAAGGATCCGAAGGATTATGAGACATTCACACAATTGTTTTTGCCATGGTTGTTAAGTGAATCACTGCAATTGTTAAATGAGTCATGCGGTTATTAAGCAAATCTGCCTTCCCCCATTGACTTTACTTGTCAGAAGCCAGCTGGGGGGGAAGCAAATAGTGACAGGATGCTGCAACCGTCGTAAATACATACCAGTTGTCAAGAGTCCTGAATTTTTTTGAGAAAATTTTACTGATTTTCTAGTTTTACATTTAAATTTTTAAAAAGCAAGGTGGCGGCTGAGTTAATCAATAATTCAATAACATACAAGTATCTTTAGTACAGATCTCAAACTATTACATTAAATATTTCTTCTCTTTTCCCCTTAGTATTTACTGTCTCATATTTAAACTAATACAATTCTTATTATATCAATTAAATAAAAATAACTTTCTTACATTTATCAATAATTTTTAGTTTGTACATATCCTAGTTATTTTAACATTCCATCTTTGTAGACAATCAATGTCCTAATTAGTTTTTCCCAATTTTTAGTTTCCCTTTAATATTTAAATTTAACATTTAATATTTATAATTTCCAAGTTTTAAATAACCCCAATTCCCTTTATCATAATTCATCACAATGTTCAGGATACACGTTTTATCTATTTGAATTTTCACCATCTTACATCAGCTAATTAATAATACAATATAATATTCTTATTTTCTGTTAATTTCCAAATATCTTAAATTTAGTAACCAAAATTTCTCTTATTTCAACATTTAATACGTCCTCTCTTTTTCTCTTGCTATCTGCTATCTCATATTTAAGCTAATAGTTTTTATTATTACAGCTAAGTAAAAACATATGTATTACATTCATCAGTACATTTTTAGCTTATATATCTTAATTACCTTTACATTTAACCTTTATAAGCAATAAATTATTTATCAATATTCAAATTTAACTGTTCATATTTATAATCTCAAGTTTTAAATGACCAAAGTTTTCTTTTTCTGTCCCGAATTGTGATCACATGACCATGGGGATGCTGTGACAGTCATAAGCAGGGGGTTGGACTCGATGACCTCCAAGGTCCCTTCCAACATCAACATCATCATCATCATCATCATCATTATTACTACTATTTTAATTGGCTCTTGTAGTGCTGTTGTAACGTAGGTCACTAAACAAATGGCTGTAAGCCAGAGACTACCTGCATTTGATAAGTTCTTTTGACTAGACCAGTATTTCTCCACCTTGTCAAGTTTAAGATGGGTGGACTTCAATTCCCAGAATTCCCTAGCCAGCATCCACCTATCTTAAACTTGACAAGGTTGTGAAACACTGGAGTAGATTGATTAAATCCTTGTTCAAAAACTCCCAACAGACCACAGGAAAGATCCATCAAGGTAGAAAAATAAATAAATAGCAGACAGCCCAGCACGCAGCTTCAAATAACATCCAAACAGATTTTTTTTTAAGGAACTCAGAAGCACCTGGGAAGATCAGAAAGTCGACAAAAGTCCCCCACAATATTTCATCATGGGGGGTTGAGCATTACCGGCAGAGGAATCAATTCTGTCTAGAAGATAAATCAAGCTACTCACATACTTATCATTTTGGACTATGCTTTTCACTTACCCAGAACGGAGAGAGGGAGGAGGTAGCCAAGCAGGAACCAGCAGCCAATATCTTGCACTAGCTGGACCATCCTTAATCTGGAAGAATAGAGAGGGGGAAATGTGAATCTCCAGTAGCCCAAACTGTTCTCTTTGTACATATTTTTCCTTCCCTAAATACCCCTCTTTCTTTCCGTCTCTTTTTCTACCCGGCATTGTATTTTCTTCCTTCTTTCCTGCATTGCACATCTCTTTCTTTTTTCCTTCTTGAACTTCAAAATGTTCTTTTACTCCCTCCCTCCATTGCCTTATTCCAGTGGCGGCGAACCTACGGCACGGGTGCCTTCAGAGTCCTCTCTGTGGGCACATGCGCCGTCGCCTCAGTCCTAAACCTACAGCTGGGTTTTATAAAGCCTGTTCACTTTAGGCCTCTGCCGCTGTGTGCAAAAAAAAAAAAAAAAAAAAAGGTTCAATCAGTCAATTTCAACTTCTCGCAGGAAAAAAAAGATCTTGCAAAGTTGGAATTGATTGATTGATTGAACTTTTTAGTGCCACCCAGTCTGCCATTACCACCGCAGCCACGCCCACCCAATGGGCCACACCTATCCAAAGGGCCACACCCAGCCAATGGGCCACACCCACCCGGCACCCGACAATGCATAAGTGGGTTTTGGGTTGCGGTTTGCGCACTCGGTCTCTAAAAGGTTCGCCATCGCTGCCCTATTCACTCTTCCCTTCTTCCTTTCCTTTCCTTTCCTTTCCTTTCCTTTCCTTTCCTTCCCTTTCCTTCTCTTCCCTTTCCACATCTATTTACTCCCTTCCTTTCCCTTCCCTCCCCTCCACTTTCACATCTATTTATTCCCTTCCCTTTCCTTGTCTCCTTTCCTTTCCTTTCTTTCCTTTCCTTCCCTTTCCACGTCTATTTACTCCCTTCCTTTCCCTTCCCTCCCCTCCCCTCCACTTCCACATCTATTTACTCCCTTCCCTTTCCTTGTCTCTTTTCCTTTCCTTTCCTCTCCCTCCCTCTCTTCCTTCCTTCCTCCCCCCTCCCTTCCTTCCCTCCCTCCCTTCTTTCCCTCCCTCCCTCCCTCCCTTCTCACCCTCCCTCCCCTCCCTCATATGGTTTTCTTTTATCCTTCTCCTTTGTCCTGCTCATTACTTTCTTCCATGTTCCTCCTCACATTCCTCCTTTATTTTCGCCACCCCCCACCCCCTTCCCCAACCATCTCCTTATCCTTCCAGCCACAGATGCCCAGGCTGGGTGCTTCCTGTTGCAATCCCATCCCTCCTTGGAAGGAGCCATGGATGCAAATGGACTTCTTAAAACAAGCCAACCCATCCCCCAAACTGTCCTAAAGGACTGAAGGGCATAATTCTTGCCTCTAGCTTTCAGCAGCATTTCTTCCACTCTGGAGAGAAAAAAAAATATGAATAATAGTAACAATTAAAAAGAAAATCTGTGTCACGTTTCACAGCCAGGCAAGTATATCCCTCCTAGCTTGATCTCTACCGGGAGGTTATTTCAGAAAACAGCAGCTTCTCGCATCAACCCTCCAAATGTCACGAAAACCTCTGAATAATAAGTTTCTCCATGGAGTCCTTGGTGCTCCCTGAGGTCAGTTGTTTGCTTGCAGACATTTCATTACCCAACTAGATAACGTCATCAGTGCTTGTGAGTGTCGGGCTCACTTCCTGTTTATATATAGTAGTTTGCCCTGCCAATGTTGGTGAAGGTAGTTTTCTCCTTGGTAGTTCCCTGATTAGGGTAGTTTTCTGCTTGATTGTTTGTCTGGCGTTAATCCTTGCTTATCTGGGTATTGGTTGCTGGAGAGGATATGTTCTGGTCTTTCTGTTTCCTTCCTAATTTTTTACTGACTCTTTTGAAGAGTATGTAAATGTGGTTTGTCTCTATAGAGATCAAGGAACTAACAAGAAGAATCTCACCAACACCACCAAACACTGGCAGAGCAAACTACTGTAATATAAACAAGAAGCAAACTCCACATTCACTAGCCCTGATGATGTTACCTAGCTGGGTAATGAAACGTCTGCAAGAAAACACCCGAGCTCAGAGAGCACCAAGGACTTCACAGTTCAACCCTGAGCTACAGAGATCCTCTTTTATTGGAACATAGTTCTCTGTGTTTGATTTGATCATTTGGATTGTTAGTGGTTTGAATAGATGGTCTTTCATACATGTAGGCACCCAGCCATAAAAAAGATGTTGAGACTCTAGAAAGAGTGCAGAGAAGAGCAACAAAGATGATCAGGGGACTGGAGGCTAAAACATATGAGAAATGGTTGCTGGAGTTGAGTATGTCTAGTTTAATGAAGAGAAAGACGAGGGGGGGACATGATAGCAGTATTCCAATATCTCAGGGGCTGCCCCAAAGAAGAGGGAGTCAAGCTATTCTCCAAAGCACCTGAAGGCAGGACAAGAAGCAATGGATGGAAACTAACCAAGGAGAGAAGCAACCTAGAACTAAGGAGAAACTTCCTGACAGTTAGAACAATTAACTAGTGGACAACCTTTCTCCAGAAGCAGTGAATGCTCCAACACTGGAAGTTTTTAAGAAAAGACTGGACAGCCATTTGTCTGAAATGGTATAGGGTTTCCTGCTTGAACAGGGGGTTGGACTAGATGACCTCCAAGATCCCATCCAACATCATTATTATTATTACTATTACTATTATTATTACTATTATTATTTATGGGTTTAAACCATCACCCTAAACTATCCAAAAACCAACTGGCAACCAGTGCAGGGTTGAAAACTGTGGTGTTGTATGCGCCCAATACTGGATGCTAAAAAAACAAAACAGACTGCTGCATTTTGGACCAACTGAAATTTCTGAGTCATCTTCAAGGGCAGCCCCAAGTAGAGTGCTCCCTAGTAGTCCAACCAGTATGGTGACAAAAGCATGAATTAGTGTTGCTGGGTTCTCCTCCCACCGGAAAACAGCAGAGGTTGAATGTGCCAAAGCTTGTGCTAAACCTGAATTACAGCTCTTCTTTCTATCCCTGCCTCTCAGTTTTTCCAAAATCAATTATAAGCGTAACCGAGAAATATTTACTTTTGAAGGAATTAAATGAACCGCAGCCTTTTTTCATTAGATAAGCCTATATGTTGGAATTTGAAAGCAGGGGAGAATGTATCTTTCCTCTTCATTCATCAAATTCATGAATCCCCTACTGGGCTCAGGTGTGCCGGTGCTATTTCTCTCCCAGGAAACAACTTCCCTCCTCAGATTTAGATGGCCCCAGCCCTGCTGGGTTTCCAGAAGGCATTAAAGGCCTAACTCAGTGATGGCGAACCTTTTAGAGACCGAGTGCCCAAAAACCACCCCCCCACCCCGTACCTGCTCTGCCCTGCCCACTGGGCCACCCACCAACTCCATGGCCCACCACAGATCACCCAGGCAGCCCAGCAGCGCCATGGCGGCTACGCCTCCGCCTATGCCCCACAGCAGCATCTGCGCGCGACGAGGTGCAAGGGCAGAGTCTTGTCCCCGCTGCCCGGCTACCATGTCCTTGGCTGCGCTGCTTCGCGTGGGCCGCGCCCAGGGGCAACTATCCTCTGGGAGGGCTGCTGGTGAGGAGGGGGCTGTGGGAGGAGGCGGGGCTGGGGAGATGGTGCGTGTGCCCACAGAGAGGGCTCCGAGTGCCGCCTCTGGCACCCGTGTCATAGGTTCGCCACCATTGGCCTACCTCTTTCTCACTTATTGGGCCTAGAAGGTTAAGTGGTTCTGATATGTATGCTTTATGACAGAGGTCCTCAAACTTGGCCACTTGAAGACTTGTGGACTTCAACTCCCAGAATTCCCCAAATTAAATCCTTTGAGTCATGTTCAGCTCCTGGGTGTCTTCATGGGCAACACTACCTAATTTGGGGGGCAATTGTTGACAGATTTTATTTATTTATTGCCCATCTTGAATGAAGCTTGCTGGCTGGGGAATTCTAGGAATTGAAGTTCACGCCTCTTAAGAGTTGCTAAGGTTGAGAAACACAGCACTGACAATTTAAAAAAGACCCCAAATTTTAACATTTGGTAAGATTTTAAAAGGGATCCTAGGTCACCATCTGATAAAATGATCAATACAAACCAAAATACATCTGATTTATTTGTGTATCTATATGAAGGGGTACAAAGCTTCAAATATACCTTCCACCAATACTATTAGGTGAAGATTACAAGTAGACCTTGACTTACGACTACAAGTGAGCCCAAAATTTCCATTGCTAAGCAAGATGGTTGTTAAGTGAGTTGTGCCCCATTTTATGACTTTTCTTGCCACAGTTGGTAATCGAATCACTGTTACCTCAGTGACATGGCAGCTAAGTGAATCTGACTTTCCCCATTGACTTTGCTTGTCAAAAGATCTCAAGAGGTGATCACATGATCCCAGGGCCCTGCAACAGGCGTAAATACATGCATCTGAATTTGGATCATGTGACTACGGGGGAATGCTGCAATTGGTCTTAAGTGTGAAAATGGTCATAAGTCTCTTTTTTTTCAGTGCCATTGTAACTTCAAATGGTCACTAAACAAAATGGGTGTAAGTCGAGGACTACTTGTATGGAACTATTTAACCTGGCGGAAGAATGCAGAAGCAGGGGAAGGCAGGAAGAAGAAAAACACGACTGACTCTCCATGGTCCACGGTCTCTTAGCAATGCGATTCCTCCTTCCCATCACAGCTAATTATTTCTGATGGCAAAGCTAAGATGTCTCCCAGTCTGGGAGAAAGTCAAAATTTGCATTTCAATGGAATGGATCCAGGCATTCAAGTGTGCAATAATGTCTCACTGATTTTCCCTTGGGGAGGAAAGGGAGGGGGCTCGCCCAAAAAAGATTCCTTGCAAATCTCTGTCTTCAGCCTGTCCTTCCCCTCCCAGCCAAGAGAACTCTCTGGTTCAATGACAAATCGATAACTGAGCAATCCACAATAAATGACAAAGGAGGAATTATAAGCACCCAAAACGATGCTTTAAGTAGCAGATGGGCCCAGATTCAAATATCTTGATTTCCTGGGTTAGAATTGACCAAACAATTAACCAGCGGAACAACCTGCCTCCAGAAGTTGTGAATACTCCAATG